TTTTGAGACTTTAGTCTTTGCAACTTCAGGGATCTTATCTATTCACGAACAGCTTGTAACACTCCAAAGAGAAAGGAAAACTTGAAATCGCATCATATGACCCCTTTAAGATGCGTTTTTTTTTCCTTTCTACATGTTATCTTAAGGGTTTTTCCCATTATTTTAATTGTAGTTTTAGTATAACATTATAATACCATTCATATTTTTACTTTTTTATAATTGAAAGAAGAAACCAATCGGATGTATAGTTGACATTTGAGGCTTAATTAAGTTTTTCAGTTAGAGTGTTTTCAGCTTGTTTATTTTCATATAAAAATACAGCATGCAGTTGCATCAAACAATGATATAAACATCATTCAATGTAAATTGTGATAATCGTAATTAATAATCGCAATTACAGTTTCAAGGGAATAATCGACAATTATGATTTTTGTCATAATCATGCAGCCCTACTTGAACTGCACTGCTCTTAGAAATTCTGGGTGGTCTGAAACATGATTAATTAATATTTCCCGTGCGTATTTCCAAGGACAACTTCTACCTGTCTGTAAATGCACTTTATATTTATTTAGTCATGTTTGTTTACAAGCCTATCTTTTGTCTGCGAGCCTTTAAAGAGTGTGTCAGTAAGAATCCTCTGCTCGTTCTCTCTCACCCCGTGTGTTTGAAGTGCCTTTGCCTTCAACCCTCTCCTTCTGTCTTCATCTCGGGTAATAAACACGCACCTACTTCTAATGAGAACCATAAAGCCTCTCCCATGTTATTCTTCTCTTGCTCAAATTAGGTAGCAGTACATTTTCTGGCTTTGTGAATGTCCGTGTTGGTGCTCTTGATAAATTTAATAACCTCAGTTCTGTTTCTCTTTATCCCCGTCAGGTTGGTGTGGAGTTTTGTAACAAAAGAATTCCTGTGTGCACTGGAATATATCAGCCGAAAATGAGGAACTGTTGAGCGTGAGTATGAGTTCATGTGTTCCCCAAATATTGTGTTGTATTATGAGCTTTGTGGAAATCCGCCTGGTTTGCTAAGGCTGTTTGTTCGGTATCATTCAGATTAACCTCATTCTTGACCTGATTGTAATATGCTTAATAATAATTGAATTAGATGGGACATTGTTTAATATGCAACTCTCTGTTAGGGTTAGTGTTAGGGTTACGGTTATCTTTCAAGTTGGTTTCATATGGTTTTTAAAATCTGTAGACCATTTTCAAGAACAATTACTGACAATTACTGGGGGGGGGGTTGTATTATCTGTATTATCCTATCTGAGGGTTGTCCCCCCTAAAAATATGATTAAAATCCACACTGTGCATTGTAAATAACAATGTTTTATACTTTAAATAATTGTGTAAGTAGTAAAACAACACAAACGGGGCAAAAATGCGTTTTAAGTTTAGAAACATTTTGAGTCTCCCCTCCCTTGCCTCACAGTGCTTTGGTCCAAATGCCTGCTTTCCTCTTTTACATCACCTCTACACACGAGTCCGGTGAGAGAGAACAAAGCCAATAGTTGTGGAACTCCAGTAAGTAAGGCTGTCAAGGCTATTTTATTCACTTAAACATCGGATGAAGTGATTATTTTCTCTTTAATACAGATTATGCCAATGTATTTTTCGATGAGTCCGCTATGTTAGCAATAATAACGTTACCTGCTTGAGGGAAAGGGTTGCCAGGTTTACATAACAAAACCCACTACTCAAAACTAGCCCAAACTATCCGTGTTTCGAGGGGGTACCCCGGCTAAAATACACGTTATTGGGGTCGCTTCAACCCGCGGACATGAAAAACAACCCGCGGCAACAGTGATAAAGTAGCCCAATTCCACAGAAAAACCACGGACTTGGCAACACTGTGACGGATAGTAATGTCTACAACGGATGCAAGCGCTGTCACGGCGCGACCACAACAGCTTTAAGTTGTCTAATTTGGCACGGTCTCTCTGCTGCACTAATTGTAGTAAGCCCATTCCTCTGTGTATACATATCCTTACAAGTACAATTTTAGCTGTATTATTTGTGTCCCCTTCAAAAATTGCTCTTGGAGAAATTTTATGTTAAGCGAGCATGTCACAGCAGAAGGTGAAACACGTGGTGGGAGATGCACTTTCTCAGAATGGTGGCTCTGTGTTGCCTGTGGCAAGAGCTCTGCTCATTAAATTTTCAGTTTAATATCTCCATATTTCCCCTCTTTTCCCATGTTCTGCTCCCCATTTAAAACCGCTTTATCTGATGAGAGCATGAGCTAAAAAAGTTAAAGAAAATTAGGGATTTTTTTGTCCAGTTTTTGTTAGTGATACTACCTGAATCACAAACGAGGGATAATGGAAGTGAGACACATTTGTGACCCTCATTTTTTAAACGGCAGCTATGCGCTGGTGGGCATATGATGCTCACGCTGAGTACAGATGACACATTGTAGTACAAATCCCACTACTACATCAAAATGACAGATGAGTCAATCATTATTGATTCTCCTGAAGAAGAAAATCACTGTATCCCCAAATATAGAAATTTTATGTTTATTGTCCCCCCTACAGTTAGACAAAATTTACGCCTCTGGTTATAACATATTTTTTCTTAGATCGTGAGTGTACCCATCTGAATCAATATTTTAAATATTTTAATTTCATTATTTCATAAGCCCGCCCCCGCCCCATTCTCATATCAGGACTGTTGTACCTCCCTGAAATTTTTGACTTAATGCCTGCCAAAATATTAAAATAAATTTTAATGCAGAAATGAAAAACATGCACATCATCCAAGTCGTTGTATTTACAATATAAATTAGACTTTTTTTAATATAAATTAGTAGATAAAGTGAGCCTCATGTCATTGACACTTTACAGTTTTGCTCAAGTAAAAATTGCATTTAAGGATGTTTAGATATTTTTACTGGAATTCGACAGCAACCTATTATGACAATCCAGATGTTCACAAATGACCTCCAGTTGTCGTAGCTTTAGGCTAGCAGCTAAACGGAGTGCTTTGAGACAAATATATTGAGTATGGAGGAACCATGAGCCAGCCTTGGGTTTCTTCCATGGCTGTGTCTCCTGTGAATCAGCAGTGTATGTGGATTAACTGTCCTGCACAGGACTATCATCTGATACTGCACTGGATGAGAGTCATGGCTGTTAAGTTATCTAGGAGTGCTCTGTAGAAGACTAATCTGACACACACTGATAAGGGCTTTTGGAGTGCTGCAGCCCGGCTGCTTTCATTAAGACAGAACTGTTTGCTACACAGAAACACCAGTTAAATGGAGGCAGTGACACGGCCTACGTAATTTAATCACACTCATGTGCTGCATGAATGTTCAATCTATAGCTTCCATAACGCAAGCAAAACAATAATTTCACTGCATAGTGGGTCTGCAGTGTTTGATAAGATGTGATTTGATTTGAAACACTTTAGTTTTCCATTTTTCGTGTTTTTGAATTCTGTGGGAATAGATGTTGAAATATGGAAGAGCATATGAATCATTCTTTCTGAATTTGTATTTTCAGTGCAGTTGTAACCGCATGTACCCTTTGCTAAAAAAGAACATTGGAAATGAGAGGTTGTTAAACTTACAACTATCAATTGTCTAGATCATCCATATATTTTAATAAACATTCTAATCCCACGTAGCATGACACATAATGTCGGGAGCACTTTGAAATAAATGCGGCATTTAAAAGAAAACATAATTCAGTCCACAACAATGTCTGAGTATAAGTCGATCTGAAGAGCAGTGCTTGATGACTAATCTAGAATGACGTCCATTGACTGCGAGGTGACAGCCAAGAACCGAGGAAGATATGATGCCACTTTTTTTTTTTTTAAATGCATTAATGTAATAAATTTTTGGTTCCTGAGGGTTCAAATTCTACTAGCTGTGTTCTTGATCTGAAATCAATATTGTTCTTTTCTTTTAGGTCATGACAGTATGAGTTATAAAACCTAGTTAAACAGCTAGAAGCAAGGGCATAGGAATGTTCTCAAAAGTGGGTGGGGCATAGTGTTAACATTTTCAATGTGACTCCTGAATATTAATTAGGTGATGTAACATATGCCTATTAGTCCTAACTGATTTCCAGTAAAAAGATTTCCTGGTAACTATAGTAGGATTTAACTGATAGGCTTCTACGTCTCCTAAAGATAAGTCAAAACAAAACTCTTAAAATGTAGTGATTATTTCCAAAGTATGAACTTTTTTTTTTTTTTTTAAGATATTGCTTATGTTATAATGATTGCTTTGTTTTTCATCTGGTTAGAAGAATAAAGGTGTGACACTGTAATTTAGTTTAGTAAATTTGGGTGAAATTAAAGTTGTGATGTAACAGAAGAGCATTTCTTCTGTATTGTGACACATTGTGACTGTATTGTGTATTGTTGCGATGTTTTTTATTTCATACTGGCCTTGATAAAATAAATGGCAAAAGTTCTGAAAAGAACATGGGCACACATTAAGGCAAAAGACTCATTGAGAAAGAAAAGCTGATGCTTCACCTTGACAATAGTTCTTCAACACAGCTTCTGTTTCACATTTTCCAGTATGGTTTTGTAATGTCATTTCTCTAGACTGGGATGTTTGATATGGACTTTGGAGCGATGATAAACTCTCATAAAGGATGAAGAGAAAGGACTCCATAAATAAAGCATCCCTAAGTTCGGTGACAGAGCTGCATTGAAGTTGCTGGCATTTTCTAAAAAAAATAGGCCATGTTTTGCCATTTATGTGTGCTGTTGCCTGTCTTTTGTGAGCGAGAGCGAAACAAGCCGTTTTTGGCACCAGCGAGCATGTCACAGCAGAAGGTGAAACACGTGGTGGGAGATGCACTTTCTCAGAATGGTGGCTCTGTGTTGCCTGTGGCAAGAGCTCTGCTCATTAAATTTTCAGTTTAATATCTCCATATTTCCCCTCTTTTCCCATGTTCTGCTCCCCATTTAAAACCGCTTTATCTGATGAGAGCATGAGCTAAAAAAGTTAAAGAAAATTAGGGATTTTTTTGTCCAGTTTTTGTTAGTGATACTACCTGAATCACAAACGAGGGATAATGGAAGTGAGACACATTTGTGACCCTCATTTTTTAAACGGCAGCTATGCGCTGGTGGGCATATGATGCTCACGCTGAGTACAGATGACACATTGTAGTACAAATCCCACTACTACATCAAAATGACAGATGAGTCAATCATTATTGATTCTCCTGAAGAAGAAAATCACTGTATCCCCAAATATAGAAATAACATGTGCTGTCATTGGCTTACATCTTACTTTTTGTGTGTCTCTTTTTAACTTTTAAGTTTTGATTTACATTTTGTTCCTGCAGTTTCATATGCATGCATGTCTTGCATGCAGTAGAAGTTGATTAGCCTTTCTTGTTGCATAAGACAAGATAACTTTACGTAATGTAAAGCATGACATTATAAAGTGTACGTAGTGCATGTAACTCCAGGATATGCTGTTGAGACACTTAAAGGTTATTATGGATATCTTCATGCTTACATTTCTCTTCAGGCAGTAGTTATTCAACATGCTTTCAGCACAGAATCACTGCAAAACCTAGTCAGCTGCCTCCAGGTAGGCAACTGAATTGTTATCCCAAGATACCTTGCTTTGGACATATTCAAAGGTAGCATTGCATGTACCCTAAACGGTGACGGCAATCTCAGAATGCACTGAGCAGTTTAAGATGGTGGATATGAGAGAGAAAACACTGAAACGGTGATTAAAGTTTAAATTAATAAAAAAAAACTACATTTGTGTGTACGACACTACCATTCCAAAGTTTAATGTTAGTATTTTTTTAAATATTATTATTATTATTATTTATTTATTTAATTTTTTAAAGAAATTAATACTTTTTTTAGGGATGCACCGATACCATTTTTTCAGAACCGATCCGATTCGATACCAAAAATTCGGAGCATCAGCCGATACCGATCCGATACCAGCTCAGTTTTTTTTT